CCCAAGCCAAATAATAACCCCACACCAAATGAATACACATATACCTCCACATTAGTATTTGGGTACATTATGCCACATTATGCCTGAAAGTGTCATCAAAAAAACATAGGGCAAGAGCAATTACATTAGGTGAACATACATAAATAAGAAAAGAAAAACACATGTACAATACAGAAACTATAATCAAATATTTTCATTACACATTTTTGGGGCATTCCCATGTTTATTTTTGTTTTAGTTTGCTAAAAATAAAAAAAAGGTACCTTAAGGGGGGGTTAAAGCACCTTTGATTTTTCAAAGTACCTAATAGGGCTGGTTGGCATGCAATGGGTTTGGTTTGCAAAACTGTAACCGGACCCCAAGCCAACCAATAACACCACACCAAATGAATACACATATATCTCTACATTAGTATTTGGGTACATTATGCCTTAAAGTTTCAAAAAAAACTAGGACAAGAGCAATTACATTAGGTGAACATACATAAATAAAACAAAAAACCACATGTACAATACTGAAACTGTAATATGTTTTTTTTGCCACATATACCACCACTGATTATTGATTGAATACATATATATATATACATACTGTATATATATATACTATTTATTTGTTCATTTATTGTTTTTTGTTATTCATTCTTTATATATATATGTTTTATTTTTCTAATTATATATGTGTTTATCTTGTTAATGTTTTTGAACACGAACCACTTCTTAAAGTCGCAGCATATCTTTAAGTATTGTTTTCCATTATTGCATGCATAGGACAAATATTCATTTCACAAAAACATATTACCATCCAAAAAAAGAAAATCTCATGCAACACCTTTTGTGAATGATAAATAGCACCATGGTTGGTTGATACATGCACAAGGTCTTTGGTATGTGGGCTACTTTTTGGTGAAAGGTTGCAAAATATGTCAAGTGTACAAGTGCATGTACCATCCATGTAGCACACTGGTGCTCAAGATTGAAGTTACGTGTCACTTGTCGCCCCTGTTGGTAACCTCATGAAGAGGCCTGTCCACCTGATGCTATGCTTGCTTTTGCCTCCACCTGAACCAGCACCAGAATCTGTAGAACAGGCTTCTCCAGAAGAAGCTGCCCCATGAGCTGACTTCGATTCTTAGATACTGCAGCACCCAAGGCAAAGGCCAAAGCCAAGGTGAAAGCAAAATCTAAAGTCAAGGCAAAGGCAGCAGGTAAAGCCAAGGCTGCTGCCAGCAAAGCTCCTGGGGTTACTTCTTCGCCAATGAAAGCTCAAAAGGCAAAAGCCAAGAGCACAATGAAGAAAATCCTGAAAAGACCTGATGCAGCTGAAGGCGAAAGCCAAGGCCAAAGCGAAGACTGCCAAGGAGATGGCAGCAGGATGGAAGAAGACCAGGGATGAGCCAGTTCCTGATGACCATGCAGAAGGAGAAGATGAGGAGCCTAAAGAGGAGGATGCAACAGTTGCTGATGATGAGCATCGAAGCTACCCCAAGGTAAGGAAATGCGCCAGAATGATCAAAAGTGGCCAGGTGCCAGAAGATCTTCAGCAGCTCTATGAAGAGGGCTCCAAGAATTCTCCTCCCCAAGGTTATTTAAGAGTCAATTCATCAACAAAGTCTTTCAGCAGAACACCAGTGGCGAGTTTGCTTTTGCTCCTGGAAATACCCAGTGCGAGGTTTTCAAGAAGAACTTTGAGATTTGCACCAGCAAATCTCAGGTTACTGGGTTGCCTCACTCCATCATGTCGTGGAAAAATTCCAGTGAGACCAGCAAGCTTTGAATGAGCAGAAAGACGAGGTGATGTCTATCAGAAAGATGGTTACTATCATGTCAGGACAATAGCCACAGCCATTGAGAAGAAGCAGGGCAGTTCCATGGTCTTGCATGCTGGCCAAGCCAACATCACCAAGGATGAGTTATTCGCAGATGAGTCAATTCATTTCGAGCAGGCCCTGGAGCCAGCTTGGCACTGGAGCTAGTTGTGGTGGTAGTGGTAGTGGTAGTTGTGGTAGTGGTAGCAGTGCTTCCTCTACACCAGCTGTGGTTACTTCATCCTCAGCATTGCCAAAAGCGATTTGTGATGCTCCTGTGAAACTGAGCAGGGCAAGTGCTCCCAGGAGCGACTGGGCAGAGATTGTCAAAGACCGGCTGTCAAAATCTTTTTTTTGACAAGAAAGACCAAAAACTAAATTATACTTTGATGGATGTCCTCACCGAGCTTTCAAAGACAGAATGTATGCTTCGGGTTACTTCATTGTAGCTTTGATGTTGTATAACATATCTTCAAAACATCCAATCAGATTTGATCTTCACAAATAAAAACTTTGATTTGCTCAAACAAGTATAAGTTCAAACAATATAGTTTTTTTGCACTTCCAGTAATCATGTAGAACTGACTTCACACAAAATCAAGAAACATATTGTTAAAAAACCTTTCAAACAATTGATAATATTCACTTTACTATGGTACAATGTTAAGAAAATGTCAAAATTCATTATCTTTTTTCCATGAAAAAAAGGCAAAATTTCAAGGTATTTTTTTTTTAAATCCTCAAAAATTACCTTGATAGGAACCTTTAAAAATTAACTATGTAGTTAAAAAAAAATTAACTATTTTGTTTTCCTTAAAAATTACCTGTTAGGTAGAAAATTGCCTCCAAAATCACTTTTACCTATTTTGCTCCAAATAACCTTGCCTGACCTATTGGGCATGTCTAGCGCACATCGTCTGAGTTCGAAGCGAATGATCCGTAGATAGGATCTGCAATGCAGTCTTCTCTGAGCCATATAACAGAAACTATAGAATCATTCGCCCAACTTCCAGTCACATGTCCAGAATTGTTTGGGAATCTCTAAGGAGCTCCTGCGTTCCCCGTGGAAAATAGGGAAAAGTGGATCCAAGCACAGCTCAGTGTCCATCAGGATGCTGTTGAGGGGGGAAATCAGTGAAAAAACGATTTGACTTGGGAACAATGCTAAACACCAATTAATTCTCGGTAGCCCCAAAAAGATAGAAAGCCAAAATCCCACTAGAACAGTGATGAAATGCTGTTCTATCTTCTTGGGGATTACTATTTTGTCAGGATGTTGATCCTGTGCTTCTAAGTTGATACTGTCCGTGCACCGTGCACTGTCCGCGTTTTTCTGTGGCATCTACATTCCTCCTCAACTTTTTTAGTATGGGATCCTTGGTAGCAGTTTTTTTTCATGGTGAGCCATCACCATAAACCATCTCAAAAAAGGAAGATGTCCAAGCAAACCAAATGACCATATCAAGATCCAATGTATACATCGGGTTAAAAAAAAAGAACTCATACTCAACCCACTCAACCCACTACCCATGCAATCTACAACGAAAATAGAACCTCTAGGATTGGGATGTATTTTCTGCAGGGATGTGTGATGTTGTACACAAAAATTGGATATATATATATATATATATAATATATATATATATATATTAGAGAGAGAGAGATTATCTATACGTAATATAATTGGCTTATTGTGTATGTTGGTACAGAAAACGCCCATACGTTCAGTCTATTCGTGGCCCGTCCCTACTAAAGTAACATGCCAGCAGCGCCCAGTAGACCCTGATGAGCACCAGGAGGCGAAACCTTCGATTTGCTTTGAAGCTTCCTTCAGCTTTTTAAATTCAGCACTAAGTAAGGTCATGTTGCTATCTGGTTCTTTCAAACAGCTTCATTGTTGAACTGAGTCAATCTATTCATTGAATCATTCATGAAAGCAAGACCAATAGCGTGAAACTCAGCATCAACTCAATCAATTCAGGTGTTGCTTACCACACCTCGGAGACTCGAAAGGACCTGCAAGCAGACCAGAGATGGGTCTCAGAAACTGGGACATAATGGTGGTTTAATGGTGGTTTAATGGTGGTTTAATAACTTATAATTGGGATACCATGGGTTTGTTGTGGATTATTCTGGTATATAATTGATATAATCAAGAAAAAAATGGGAGGTATGATTGAGGTGTGTTGGGGGTCTAATGAGATGTAAACCGACCAAAAATGGTGGTATCATGACGTTGTCCGAAAATGGCATAATGGCTATATCATGGTATATACATATATATCATTAATATCATGAGAATAGAAACCAACAAAAGATGTGGATAAGAAGCAATCGTTCTGCTGCTTGGTTGTTTGTTGAGCCACCAGTCACCAAAATAGATGTAAATCACGATCATAATCCCAGGTAGCATGGGAAATGCATTGAAATGCAAAGTGCTTCAGCTTTGGGCTCCTGCGATTTTGAAGGCGTGTTGAAGGTCGACTGCTGTAAAGCAAACTTTGGCCAACAGCAAGCTTTATTTAAAGCTGACTGAAATTTGACATTTCATGAAGAAATTTATGTGTTTCCAGTGCGAAATGTCATGAGGTCCGCAAAGATTGGAGTCCAGGGTTTCCATTCCCATCTTTATAGAAACATCTGAAATACCGACCCACAAGAACCTTCAGACCAAGAAAAAAATTGCAGGGGCCCACGCCTGAATAGGGGAGATCTAGGCCTACAATATCAGGCCACCAGGCAGTCTGAATATCAGCAGCCACCCACTGAGGTCTTTTTCGCTCCATCTTCGCTGGATTTAAGCGATTTGCGCCACACTTCAGCGCGATGTTTTTCTACATCGAATGGCCAGCATGTCATCTCTGGGCATTTCAAATCAGGAGTGTCCAAATCTTGCTGTGCCAACAACCAACAAATAGTTATAGTTATATTGGTAATCTATATATATATATATGTGTGTGTGTGTGTTGGTTCGTATATGTGCGAAGTCTTGCTTGCAGAGGTGTCAACTGTGATTTCAATAATACATTGACAATTGCATTAAAGACTATCGAAGTTGCACAGTGAGATTGTCTCTGAAAGCAGCTTCCACCAACAACCACCGAGACTGTCAACCATGACCAGCCCTGCTGAGCCATCCACCGAGTCATTTTTGAAGACATGCCAGCCAGAGATTTGTTGGCAAAGCTGAAATCTACTTGCCCTTCCCCTTGAAGCCTGGCATTCCTCCAGGCTTGCCTTTGCCCTTGGGCCCAAAGCCACCTGGCCCCATGCCTGGTCCCATGCCGGGTCCCATGCCTGGTCCGGGTCCCATGCCTGGTCCCATGCCGGGTCCCATGCCGGGTCCGGGTCCCATGCCTGGTCCAGGTCCCATGCCTGGTCCGGGTCCCATGCCTGGTCCCATGCCGGGTCCCATGCCTGGTCCCATACCTGGTCCTGGTCCCATGCCCGGCCCCATGGTAGCTGGAGGTGGGCCACCAGGTCCAGGCCCGGGGCCGCCCTTCCAGTTGCCAATGGGCGTTTGCTGCATCGGCTGCTGCATCTGCTGCATCCCCATGTGTGCCATGCTTGGTGCACCACCCAAGGGGGCGCCGCCCATGCCCATCCCAGGAGGTCCCATGGAGGACGGTGCCATGGACCCTGGTGGCGGCCCGAGCCCGGCAGCCCCGGGAGGAGGTGCAGCCCCCTCTTCACCCAGGCGACGCAGCAACACGTTGCAGCAGATCTTCACGTCGAAGGAAGGCTTGGAATTTTTGATGACTTCCAGGGCTGCCTGGAGGACGTTAACTTTGGAAACGAGTGTTAAGTCAGTGCTATAGAATGATTGGGTGCCCTCAAGCTTTACATGACGACATCTTCCAACCGTGGATCTGACCAAGCAAATTTCGGTGGGAGCTGTCCATTCTTGTTGGCCGAATCCATCCAAATTTTACTTCATTGATGGTTGCCATACCTTCACATCTTGTTGGCTGTAAGCCCCATTATATATATATATATGTATATATATATATACATATGTAATGTATATATATATATATATACATATGTAATGTGTATATATATATATGTGTGTGTATTATGTAATTATCCCAATAGATCCCACTACACAAATCCTTACAAGAACGGCCGGTCACAGCCCCATGCCCACCTCGGCATCTGCTTGTTTCATTCTCTGTCGATACGACTCGTTAGGCATGGTCAGAAATTTGGACAATGCGAAACAGCCGTTCCTCAGAGCAATGGGACGAACGGAACTACCCGGCTTAGTTGATGGGAAAGCTCCCGAAAAATGGGAATGGCTTCCGGGTGTTTTTCCTGTGTATACCCTCTGGTAAACTTTCACATAACTATGGGAAATCACCATTTTTAATGGGAGAATCAACTATTTCTATGGCCATTTTCAATAGCAAACTGTTGACATAACCAGAGGGTAGATGCATTGGCCTTCATTGAAGCAGCTTGTGAGGTTCTGGATGATTCACCCACTTGAGAGGGGGGGGACGAAAGGTAGGGGGGGAAAAGGCAGGAGGGAGAGGCAAGAGAAGGTGCGACTGTTTGTAACGCAAGCACGCCGACGACGACGACGACTACTACTACTACTACTACGACTACGACTACGACTACTACTACTACTACTACTACTACCACTACCACTACCACTACCACTACCACTACCACTACCACTACCACTACCACTACGACTACGACTACTACTACTACTACTACTACTACTACTACTACTACCACTACCACTACCACTACCACTACCACTACCACTACCACTACCACTACGACTACTACTACTACTACTACTACTACTACCACTACCACTACCACTACCACTACCACTACCACTACCACTACGACTACTACTACTACTACTACTACTACTACTACTACTACTATGAGGACTACTACTACTACTATGAGGACTACTACTATGAGGACTACTACTACTACTACTACTACTACTACTACTACTACTACTACTACTACTACTATGAGGACTACTACTACTACTACGACGACGACTACTACTACTACTACTGCTACTACTACTACTACGACTACGACTACGACTACTTCTACTACTACGACTACTACTACTACTATGACGATGACGACGACGACGACGACGATGACGACGACGACGACTACTACTACTACTACGGCTACTACTACTACGACGACTACTACTACTATTACTTCTACTACTACTACTACTACTGCTACTACTATTACTATTACTATTACTTCTACTACTACGACTGCTACTACTACTACTACTACTACTACTACTACTACGACTACGACTACTACTACTACTACTACTACTACCACCTACTACTACTACTACTACTACTACCACTACCACTACCACTACCACTACCACTACCACTACCACTACCACTACCACTACCACTACCACTACCACTACCACTACGACTACGACTACGACTACGACTACGACTACGACTACGACTACTACTACTACTACTACTACTACTACGACTACGACTACGACTACTACTACTACTACTACTACTACTACTACTACTACTACGCCCAGGCCCGTTAAACTTTACATTCAATTGGGAAGATCAACAAGGGTATTAGGGAATATTAAACTCCCACCCCCGTTAAACTTTACATTGAATTGGGAAGATCAACAAGGGTATTAGGGAATATTAAAC